CCGAGGCCGCCAAGGCGGCCCCGACGCCCGCGTCGGCCTAGGCGCCTCCGGGCGCCGCGGCACGCCGGCCCGGGGGCCGGCCGCCGCGGAGAACGCCCAGAGCGCCCCCCCCGACGAAGACGACGACCGCGCGACCGCTCGCGAGGCCCAGAAGCCCCACGGGGCCCTCGGCGGGCGGCGCGCACACTTTGACCGCGCCCCATCGACGACACCACGGCCGGCGCCGCCCTTTTTAGCGACCCTTTGCCACAGCTGACGGCGCTAGCCGCGCCGCGCGCGCGGGCCCTCGGGCCCGCGCGCGCCCGCGCCTCTCCACCGCGACCACACCACAACCCTTCATTCCAACAACGGCCAAACGGCCGCCCCTCGACGCCCGTCCCACCACCGACCGGGCAGCCCCAATCGCCAGACGCCGGGCGAGCGCCGCCGCGACGGACGCGCCGCGCGCGCCGCGACGCCCTCTTTTTCCCTTAATCATCCATGTGACCGCGCACCGTCCTCACGCGGGTGGCGACTCCGAACCACTGGGGGGTCGGGACTCGGAGGAGCGCGCCGATGGCAACGATGAAGAAGTGTTGAAGATATGTAAAAAAGGCGTGGAAAACGTCAATGCGCAGCGCGGGCTGCTCGATCGGTTTTGCTCGACACCTCGAACGCGTCGGCCGACGCTCCGGGGACGCGGCGCGCGCTCCGGGAGCCGAGGAACAACATGCCGACGCTCCGGGACGTGCGGCGCGCCCTGGACATGGCCGGCGTGGACCACCGCGGCTACCTGGATTTCAAGCAGCTCGAGGACCTCTTCTTCACGGACGCCGCGGGGACCGTGAGCCCGCGCTTCGTCGGGCGGCCGACGACGAACCTGCCCGGGCGGTGGTGCCGGCCGCTCGTCTACCCCGAGGACAAGGCCCAGCTCGCGAAGCGGCCCCAGCGGCCCGCGTCGGCGGGCGCGATTAGGAGCCGGCGGCGCCACGTCGTCCGCGAGGACCACTGCCACGCGTGCCACAAGCTCGTCGGCCCCAAGGACGAGCGCACGTTCGCCAACGGCAAGCTCTACCACGCCGCCTGCTGCGTCTGCGGCACCTGCGGCAAGGGCCTCAGCGAGTCGTCGGTCCTCGAGAAGGACGGCGCGCTCTGGTGCCGCGAGTGCACGACGGCGGCGACGACCGCGCGCGCGCCGCGGTGCCCGCGGTGCAAGGAGCCCGTGCTCCGGGGCATCAAGATCTACAAGGTGCCCTACCACCGCGAGTGCGTCCAGTGCGCCATCTGCGACAAGCACCTCGTGCCGCTGGCCGGGAAGCGGAAGCACGACGACAGGGTGCCCCGGGGCCGGGACGGCCGCTTCTACTGCGAGCGGTGCATGGAGGAGCACTTTGGGGAGCGCTGCACGTCCTGCGGCAACGCCGTGCTCAAGTTCGACCGGAACCCCTGGACCAACGAGTCGCTCTGCGAGGCCTGCGCGGACCGCGCGCCGTGCGGCTGCTGCCGGAGCCGCTGCTGGGACCTCGTCAGGCTCCCCGACGGCCGCAAGCAGTGCGTCAACTGCGACAAGGACGCCGTCCACGACGTCGCCGACGCGCGCGCGTGCCTCGCGAAGGTCGTCAAGTTCTTCCGGACGACGCAGGGCCTCGGCGCCGCGCTCGACGCGCCCGAGGTCGCGGACGTCGCCGTCGAGCTCGTCGACCGCCAGCGGCTGAAGCGCCTCGCGGCCAAGGGCGTCCACGGCGCCGCGGAGCAGCCCGTGAGCGTCACGGTGTCGCGGGCCGCGCCGGCGGCCGCGCCCTACCTCAAGACCGCCGAGGCGCGGCCCGCGCGGACGCTCGTGCTCCTCGCGGGCATGCCGCGGCCGCAGATGTGCGCGGCCATCGCCCACGAGCTCTGCCACGCGTTCCTGGCCCTGGGCCGCGGCCGCGCGTCCGGCGAGCGGCGCCTGTCGCAGCCGCTCGAGGAGGCCGTCTGCGAGCTCTGGGCCGCCCTCTGGCTCCGGTCCCAGACGTCGGTCCACGCGTCCCTGCCGGGCACGCTCCTCGCGAAGATGACGGGCTCCATGGACCCCGTCTACGGCGTCGGCTACCGCGAGGCCGACGCGGCCTTCCAGAGGCTCGCCGTCGACGGCGCCGCGTCCAAGCTCGCGGAGTACATGCGGCGGCTCCGGCGCGCCAAGGCGCTCCCAGGCAGCTTCCCCCGCGAGGACCCGCGCTCCAGCGGCCGCCTGACGACGAACGCGGACGCGGCGCCGCGGCGGCCCGACGGCAGGTTCGCCGGCCACGCGCGCGCGCGCCACGCCACGGGCGGCCTCTTTTAAAGACGCGGCCCTAGAGCGCCCCGGCGGAGGCCGACGAGGGGAAGGACGTCGCCGGGCGCGACGGGCTCAGGTTCGGCAGCGACGCGGCGCTCCCGCCGAACGTCGACTCGAGGCCGTCCAAGGCCGTCGACGGCCGGCTGCCCAGGGACGACAGGGACGCCTTGGACGCGGAGCTGTTCATGCGGCGGCCGCGCTTGCGCGCCTCGGCGGCCGTGCACGTCGTGCCGTAGCCCGTGGAGAAGCCCCGCGCGGCGCGGAGCGTGCTCGTCGCGATCATTCGAGAAGACCGGTACGTGTCGCGCCGGTTGTTGGCGCTGAGGTCCTCGCAGGACGTGACGAGCGCCGAGGCGTCCGTCTTCGACTTGGCCAGGATGGCGCGCAGGACCTCCCGCTCCTTGAGGCGCGCCGCGTAGGACACGACGACCTTGTCGTAGCCCTTGGTGTACTCCTCCAACGTCCGCTCGATGGTGTACAAATCCTCCTTGTCTTTGTTCATACTGCTCTGGCACTTGCCGCGCTGGGCGCGCAGGCTGTCCGTCATGGCCTGCGTGTTCTTGATGATGCGCTCCGACATGCGGAAGGCCTCGCCGCCGTCGCTCTTCTTGTCGCTCTGGCGCTCCATGAGCGTGCGCCGCCGCATGGGCTGGAGCGACGTCTTGTTCGGCGAGCCGCCCATGGCCGACGTGAGGGCGCCGGACGGCGCCGACTCCTCGGGCTTCTCCGCCGCGGCGTCCATCCGAGACAGCGCGACAGGGTGGGTTTCCTCTCGCGGACGCAGCCCGTAGGATCGTACATCTGAAACCCACAGCGATGATGAGGTGGATCGGGTAGGACAGTGCTACTATTGTAGGGCCGTAGGGCCGCAGCTCTCGCGGCTCGATCTGAGTGGGCAACATGGCCACCTGCCGAGTCAGCAACTCGCTCGGCCGCGCTTCGCGCGCGCTGCTGCTCCTCGCGGCGGCGACCACGGCGCTGGCCCCGCAGCGGTCGCTGCCGGTGCGCTGCGCGTCGCGGTCGCGGTCGCGCGTCGTCGTCTTCGCCGACGACGACGTCGAGACCCTGCGCGACCAGGCGGCGAAGCTGCGCGCCGAGGTCGAGGTGCTCCAGGCCGAGGCGGCGAAGGAGCGCGCGGAGGAGCTCAAGCGGAACCCGCCGCCGCCGGAGCCGGAGAAGAAGGCGGAGGCGCCGGAGAAGAAGGCCGTCGCCGCGCTCGAGACGGACGACGACGCGGGCTTCTCCTTCCCCAACCCCTTCGGCGGCGGCGACGACGCGCAGCCGAAGCGCGCCGTCTCGAGCGACGAGGACGTCGCCGCGCTGCTGCGCGTCGCGGCCTGCGCGCCCTACCTCCTGCCGCTGAGCGACGTCATCCCGTTCTCGCAGTACATCGCGAACGACTTCCCCATCGTGCTCCTGCCGCTGGCGCCCTTCGCGCCCTTCGTGGCGCTGCTCAACGCTGTGTGCAAATCAAACAGTGAGCTGGGACGTCGGGGCCAAACTTCAGAAATCTCTATCTCGGTCAAATCGAAGTCGATTCGGCTGATTTTTGGACAGATCGATTGCTCTCATCGAGTTCTCGAAGCACAGTGAAAGTGCTTGTGACAAAACATTCGAATACGCGAACATTGAAGTCGGGTTGAAGATTTGATTTGCACACAGGCTCAACGTCATCCCCTTCGGGTCCTTCATCGTCTTCCTCGGCCTCAGCTCCGCGTCGCGGAACCCGGAGCTGCCGCGCTTCGTCCGCTTCTCCATGCAGCAGGCGGTGCTGCTGGACATCGCGCTCATCTTCCCCCAGCTCTTCCAGCAGCTCTTCGGCGGCCTCAAGGTCCAGTTCCCCCAGGAGCTCGTCGAGCCCTCGGCGTCCTTCGTCTTCCTCTTCATCGCCGTGTCCATCCTCTACTCCTGCGGCTCCAACGCGCTCGGCAAGCAGCCGAACCAGATCCCCATCATCTCCAACGCCGCGGAGCAGTCCATCGGGCCCTTCTAAATCCGCCATGTGACTAGTCGAACTTACCGAGCGCGCCGACGTCCTCCGCGGCCTCGAAGGCCACGTCGAGCTGGGACGCCCAGGACCGGATGATCCGCGCGTCGCCGTGGTCCGCGAGGGACACGGCGAGGCCGCCCTTGCCCGCGCGCGCCGTGCGGCCGGCGACGTGGAGGTACTCGTCGCAGGACCGCGGCCGGCCCACGGAGACGACGCACGACACGCCCGGGAGGTCGAGGCCCCGGACGTCGCGCGCCGCGGCGACGGGCACGGCGTCGACGCCGCCCAGCACGGTGGCGAGGTCCGCCGCGGCGTGGCCCGCCCCCTCGAGGAAGCGGACCGTCCGACCGACGTCGCCGTCCTGCAAGACGACCAACGCGTGCTCGCCGCCGAGCGCGGCGAGCGCGTCCGCGAGCGCAGTGAGCGCGTCGTCGGACGGCGCCCCCCCGGTGCGCTTGTCCCAGAAGGGCGCGACGACGTGGCGCAGCGGCGCCGGGGCGCTCACGGCGCGGCCCGTCGTCGGCGCCGTCGCGCGGAGGACCGGGATGGACGGCCGCTTCTCCGCGAAGACGGGCGCCGCGCCGCGGACGATGCCGTCGATCTCGCGCCGCAGGGGGCGGCCGACGGTCGCCGACGCCGCGACGACCTGCGCCTCCGGGTTCGCTTCCACGAAACGCCGCAGGCACTTGGCCGCCGGCCGCTCGCGCTTCCTCGCCTTCGTCTCCGCGGACGCGTATTTCCCCGCGGGCCGCAGGAGCGCGTCGGCCTCGTCGAGGACGACGACGTCCGCGTCGTCGACGCGATGCGCGATCAATTGCTTCGGCGTCGCGACGACGAAGCGCTCCGCCGCGGCGCCGAGCGACGCGTCCAGCACGCGCCGGATCTGGGCGACGAGCGGCAGGCCCGGAGCGACGACGACGACGCGCCGCCCGCCCCGCGCCAGCGGCGCCGCGTAGGCCAACGTCTTGCCCGAGCCCGTCTCCGCGTGGACGACGCCGTCGCCGCCGGCCGCGAGCGCCCGGAAGCAGGCGGCCTGGATGGGCGTCGGCGCGTCGAGGCCGGCGCCGACGAGCCGCGCCGCGAGCTGCTCGTCGTAGCCGGCGGCGATCCAGTCCGAGGCGGCGCGCAGGCTACGTGTTGCTTTGGGTGCGGGTGCGGGCGCGAAGGCGCTTGCCGCAGTGAGTAGCAGCGCGAACAACATCATGCGGGCGGCGCGCTCGGGCTCGCCGACGTGCTCGGCCATGATGGTGGATCGCTCTGCGCCTTCTCGTCCGATGAAAACAACTGCAACCACAAGTTCAATGACGCCTCATTCAGGCCTTCATTCACGTCGATCCCTATGTTACAGCGGCGACGCGGCGGCGTCTTCCCGGTGGCGCCGGTTCTCCCGGGGCTCCTTGATGCCGCTGTCCTTGAGGACGCGGCGCAGGTCCACGGGCGGCTCCGGGCAGAGGTCGCCGTCGCCGTCGTCGAGCCGGGGCCGCCGGAGCGTCCGCGCGTCGAGGAACTGGGGCTTGAGGTGCCTGAGCTGGGCCATGGAGACGACGCGCTGGTCGTGGCCCTCCTCGTAGCGGAGCACGAGGAGCGGCTCCCAGTCGCGGGCCGTGCACTGCTCGACGAGCGTGCCGTCGTCGTCCAGGACGTCGAAGGCGCCGTCGTCGCGGAGCGCGGCGACGACGCCCTCCTGCTTCGGCGGCTTCTTGAGCTTCTTCTTCTTCGGCCCCTCGGGCGGCGCGTCGTCCTTCGGCGGGTCGATGCGGCGGACCCACGTGCCGACGGCGAGGCGCCGCGTCGCGCGCCACGCGGGCGGCCGCGTCGCGGCGCGGCAGAGCCCCGGCGGCACGTCGTCCTCGACGCCGCCGTCGTCGTAGGCCAGCGACAGGCGGCCGTCGGCGCCGACGGCGCCGACCGTCGCGGGCCACGGCGGCGCGGAGCCCCGCCAGTAGCCCTCGACGCGGTCGCCCGCCGCGAAGCGGCCCGCGCGCTCCGCGTCCGACGCGTCCGGCGCGTCGACGACCAGCCCCACGACGACGCCGCGCCAGCGCATGGCCCCGCGCGACGCGCGCGCCGACTCGAAGGGCACGCCGACGACGCTCCGCCACGCGTCGCCCGGCCGCGTGCCTCCGAGCGACCGCCGGGCCGCGTCGTCCGCGGCGCGGCGCGCGTCGTCGGGCGCGGCCAGCGCGTCGCGCGCGGCGTCCACGAGGTCGTCGGCCGCGGCCTCGAGGTCGTCCAGCCGCGCCTTGCGCTGCGCCCAGCCCGCCCAGAACTCCTTGCCGTAACTCACGAGCAGCGGCTCGCCCGCGGCGATGTTCCGCGTCGCCACGACGAAGACGCCGACGACGGACGCGGCCACGTTCAGCCCCGGCCGCGCGTCGTCGGCCGTGATCTCCGCGAAGTGGCAGTTGGCCTTGCGCGCGAGCGCCGCGTCCTCCGCGGCCGCGGCCGCCTCGAGCGCGGGCGCCTTCGCGCTCGCGAGCAGCTCGTGCAGCTCCAGGTCCTCGTGGTCGCCCGTCAACAGACCGTCGTCGTCGTAGCGCACGCGCCAGAGCGCCGCGCGCGCGCCCGTGCCGTCGACGAAGTCCGACTCGTGCTCGTCGAGCCACGCGACGACGGTGCCGTCCGCGTGGCCGAGCGCGGACGCGCCGTCGCTCCCGAAGACCGTGCGCCGCACGCGCTGGCCGATGTGGTCGCTGCCCCAGGACCGCCAGCGGTGCGCCCGCTCGCCGGGCCGCCGATGGGACCCCTTGCCCGGCGACCGCGCGTCCGGCGACCGCGGCGGCTCCGCGCGCCGCGCGCGGCCCGCGCGCGACGCGCCCACGACGAGCGCCTCCTTCGCCGACGGCCCCCGCGCGCAGTTGATGAAGGGCGCCGGCGACAGGTCCCCGCAGCCCAGGTAGGGTAATACGGACAGGGACGCGCCCGCGAATTCGTAGCGGTACATGAGCCAGCGCGCCGCCGCGCGCGGCGCGCGCCGCAACAAATCGCCGAGCTCCGCGTCCGTGACGACGACGCCCGCGTAGGGCGCCGCGGCGCCCTGGGCGATGTCCGACGCCGCGACGACGCCCCGCTCGCCCGCGAGCATGTCGCCGTCGGCGCCGTCGAGCGTGACGACGGCGGATCCGGGCGTCAGCGCGCCGCCGCCCACGCCGCCGCCCAAGCACTCGCAGACCGGGGGTGCGACCGTCTCCATGAGGAGCACGCCGCGGTCGCCGCAGAGCGCCGCGCGCGCGGCCGCGCCGGGCGGCCGGTAGGGCCGCGGCGCGCGCGACGCGAACGCCGCGTCGCGCTCCTCCTGCTTGGCCCGCTTCCGCTCGCGCTCCTCCTCCTCGCGCTTCTGCTTCGCGGTGAGCTTCTTCTTCTTCTTCGTGGACGTGTCGCTCGCCGGCGACGACGCGTTCGACGCCGCGTCCGCGGCGCGCCGCTTCGCGTCGAGGTGCTCGGCCGCCGCGCGCTGCGCGCGCCTGAGCCAGGACCGGTGCGGCTCGGGCACGCGCGTGTCCGGCAAAAGGGCGAAGCAGGGCGACCCGCGCGCCGCGTCGGCGTCGGCAGCGCCGGGCCCGAAGGTCTCGTCCGCGGACGCCTTGTCCCAGCTTTTCGCGACGTCGTCGACGGCCCTCTGGAGCCGCCCGCCGTCGTCGCCGAGCGTGGCCGCGGCGGGCGCGTCCGCGTCCGTCGCCGCGCCCGCGAAGCTCGCGACGGCGTGGTCCGCGACCTTGGCCGCGACGGCGTGGCGCCGCTCCGGCGGCGGCGGCGCCGCGCCCTTGGCGCGCGCCTCCAAATCGGCGATGACGTCCGCGACGGGCCGGAGCGCGCGCGCGAGCGCGAAGAGCGCCTTGACGGGCCGCGCGTTCGCGGCCTCGTCCCAGGCCCAGGGCCAGTCGCCCGGCGGCGCGTCGTCCTTCGGCGGCTCGTCGCCGTCGTCGCGCTTCCGCTTCGCGGGCGTGCCGTGGCCGCCGTCGTCGAAGTCGTCGAGGAGGCCCGCGAGGGGCACGGCGACGTTCCGCAGCGCGTCGCCGACGCGCGCGACGCGCTTCCGCGCCGCCGCCAGCGCGCGCAGCGGCTCGCGGTCCGCGCCGCGCGGCGACGACGGCGCGGGCGACGGCGGCCGGAGCCGCCGCCGCGGCGACGCCGGCGGCGACGGCGGCGCCTCGGCCTCGTCCAGGACGGCCGCGAGCGCCTCGGTCCAGGCCCGCGTCGTCTCCACGGGCCGCGGCGGCAGCGTCGTCGCCGCCGACGGCGCGGGCTCGCGCGCGGGCGCGGGCGCGGCGCGCCGCGGCTTCGCCGGCGGCCGCGGCGCGTCGCCGAGGTGGTCGCCGACGTCCTCGGGCCCCTTCTCGAAGGCCGCGCTCTTGCCCCGGCCCGTCTTCACGAGCAGCGGCCGCCAGTCCCGGGGCATGGCGGCGCCGCCGCCCGACCGGCCCGACGTCCGCCGGCGATTCGCGTCGGCGGCCGCCGCGCCGGGGGGCGGGCCCAGGAGCCAGGCCTCGCCCTCCGGGTCGGGCCACGCGAGGGAGTCCCGCGTGCCGTCCTCGACGTAGCGCACGCGCAGCTCGCGGTCATCGCCGGAGTCGAAGCCGTAGAAGGCGCCGCAGGCGACCGCGGGCCCCTTCTCCGCCGCCGCGGTCCGCGCGGGCCCGTCCGCCCGCGCGTCGGCGTCGCCCTTGCCCGTCGCCGTCGCCTCGTACCAGACGTCGCCGTCCCAGAGCACGCGCACGGCGTCGCCGACGCGCGGCGGGAACAGATTCGGGTAGAACTCGCGGCCTAAACACGCCGACGGCGCGAACGCGGACATGGGGCCCTTCGCCATCGTCGCGCGGACCGACTTGACCATGGCCCCGAAGGACGGCGGCGCGCAGCGCCGCGCCTCGAGCTCGTCGAGCGCGCGCAGCAGGCCGTCGCGGTCGCCGGGGCTCGCGTCCTTCCAGTCCTGCTGGAGCCGCGCGCAGAGCGCGGCGTCTCCGGGCAGCGGGTCGACGCGCTCGCTCGGGTTCAGCGCGCGCGACGCGCCGCGGCCGTCGCCGTAGAGCAGGACCCGACGCCGCCCGTTGGCCGCCGGGGCCCGCGTGCGGCAGAGCCAGGCCGGGTGCGCCCGCCCGTCGCCGAGCACGGCGAGGCAGAGGCCCTCCCGTGGGTAGCCCTCGACGTCGCCCTCGTCCTCGAGCTCGTTGGTGGCGGCGGCGTCCATGGCCAAGTCGGCGCTTCCTGGAGTGCGGGTCTTGCGCGAGAAGACGCAAGTCGTCTGCGGATGGCGCACGGGCGTCTTGTGCATCCGCCGCGCGTTTGTATTGCGCGCCGGGCCGCCGAGGCAGTCCTCTCCGGCGAGTGGAGAGCTTTGGATTCGTGACTTTCACGTGAAGGGCAACTGAAGGCATGGTATTCAAGCGATGCGATTGGCCAATTGGGTAATCCCGCGGGCAGCCCCTGCGTCAGCTCTCCCAAAGCACTAGTCCCAAAGCACGCAGCACGTTCTTGCACGGTCCCGGAGCCATGTTCGCCCGCGCCAGCCTCCTCCTCGGCCTCGCCGCCGCCGCCGACGTCTCCCTCCGCGGCTCCCTCGCGAGCGGCGACTGCAAGACCGTGTCGCCGCTCGCCGAGCTCAACATCACGGAGTACCTGCGCGCGACCTGGTACTCGCAGCAGCAGCAACTCACGTCCTACCAGCCCGCGAGCGAGCTCTTCTGCGTCAGCGCGACCTACAACGACGAGCCGGACCGCACGGTGCCCTTCTTCGACGGTTTCGTCGCGAGCACGTACAACTACGCGACGAAGCAGAACGTCTCGGGCGAGCCCGCGAACACGAAGGACGGCATGGTGCTCTGCGCGCGCCAGCAGGACCCGAAGGTCCAGGGCGGCCTCTCCGTCGCGCCGTGCTTCCTGCCCAACGTCTTCACGGGGCCCTACGACGTCGTCGGCGTCGGGGTCGCGGCCGACGGCGTCGAGTACGACTGGGTCATCGTCTCCGGCGGCCAGCCCAGCGAGAAGCAGGCCGACGGGCTGTGCACGACCAAAACCGGAACGTACTTCGGCGGCCTCTGGCTCTTCACGAGAGAAACGGTGGCGAGCGACGCGACCGTCGCGGCGGCGCGGGCGAAGATGGCGGACCTGGGCATCTCGACGTCGCAGCTCGTCGACGTGCCCCAGGCCGGGTGCACCTACGACGGCGCGTTCATCAAGCCGAACGCCTAGGGTTGTCTTGCGTAACGATCTCGCGCTTTGAGTTTTGGGCGCCGCTTGAAGCTCTCCTTGAAGCTCTCGTTGAAGATTTGAGGCAAAACCTGAGGCAGTCGTCCGCGTCCCCGCCGACCGGCCTCGGAGACGCGCCGCCGATCGAGGACGTCTTCGAGGACCTGCGGGACGCCGCGTGCTCGAGGAGCTAACCACCCAGTCGCTCGCGCCGCCCTCCTCGCGGCCAGCGGCTCCCACCATGGCGGAGAACGCCGCCGCCGCCGAGGCCGCGCCGAAGCCCGCGGTGCGCTACAAGACCGAGGACGACGTGAGGAAGCTGCTCGCCGGCGACAACTTCAAGAAGTTCTGCAAGAAGAAGTGCGGCGAGTGCCACGCGCCGGCCTTCAAGAAGTTCCTCAAGGTGTCGCCGCTCGTCGTCCGCGCGCAGGTCGGGAGCTTCTGGTGCGCGTCGTGCGGGCGGCTCCTCTGCGACGCGCACCGGAACCAGCACACGTGCGAGGTCGAGGACGCGGAGCTCGAGCGGCGGCGGCGCATGAACGTCGACGACATCCGCGCGGACATCAAGCGCCGGGAGGACGAGAAGGCGGAGGCCGACGCCAAGGCCGCGGCCGTGAAACGCGCCGCGGACGAGAAGAAGTTCGCCATCGTGAGCGCCTGGAAGCAGCGGCGGAAGCACGTTGCGGGCGTGTCGACGTCCATCGCGAACATGTGCCAGCGCTGGGCCGTGCAGGCGGACCCGGGCCGCGCGCAGGACGAGCTCCTGGAGCTCTACACGTCGTGCAACCGGATCAACCTGCGGCTCTGGAACGAGGTCCAGGAGCCGACGATCCAGCTGGACATCGACCACGAGGCCTGGGACAAGCTCTGCCGCAACTACGACCGCGCGAAGGAGCTCACGGGTTTGGTCATCGTCGTCGAGGGCACGCCGCTCGACATGCACCTGCCCTGGCTCCCGCGGCCGCCGCCGGAGGCGGAGGGGGGCGCGCCGGACCTAGACGCGTAGGAGGATGCTGCTTTCAGCCGCCGCCGGGGCCGCGGGGCGCGCGCGCGCGGAGGAGGTCGTGGTCCTGGGGCGACTCCTCGAGGTGGAGGTCGACGCCGAAGTCGTCGGCGACGCTCACGAGCGCGGCGGAGAAGCAGACCGCGAAGGACTCCTCGGCGTCGCGGCCGAGGGCGCGCTGGAGCCGTTGCCAGGCCGGCGGCGGCGCCGTCGCGCGCCGCGGCGCGGCGCCGCCGTCGTCGGCGGCGACGCGGCACGCGCCGATTTCCGCGGCCGCCGCGCGCGTCGCGTCGTCGACGCGGAAGAGCGGCAGCTCCCTGGACGCGTCGGTCCAGGCGTCGACGTCGTGGGTCACCGTCGCCGAGACGGACCCCCAGGGCGGGAAGACGAGGGCCTCGTCCGCGACGCCGATCGCGCTGCCCTCGACGCGAAAGACGAGCTGGGGCGCCGCCTCGAAGCTCCAGGAGAGGAAGAGCACGGTGACGCGCGCGCGCTCGCCGGCGGAGACGCCGGCCTGGGAAAAGTGGCGCGCGACGCGCACGCGCGCCGCGCCGAGGCCGCCGAGGCCGACGGCGTCCAGGGCCGCGGCGAACGCGCGCGCGACCTCGGCGCCGTCGACGGCGCGGCAGTCCGTCGTCGTCGTCTTCACGTCGAGGTGCCGCGCGATGACGTCCGTGCGCCGCGTGAGCGGGAACTTGGGCGCGTCGTCCGCCGGCCGGGGCCGCTCGCGCACGTACCGCGCGCCGCGCCGCGCGTCGCCGCCGCCGCGCGCGGCGCGCTCCGCCGCGCGCGGGGGGGCGCGCACGCGCTCCGCGCGCCGGCCGAGGGGCACGGCGAGCCACTTGGTTTCGACGGCCGTCGCCGCGGCGCTGAGGCCCGCGAGGCCCATGCGTGCGTCGAGGATGCGGCCCCAGCCGCTGTCCGGAGGGCTGCTCGCCGGGCGCAGCATCGCGGCGTCGGTGGGCGGCGCGGGGGTCCGGGCGGCGGTCCTGGCGGTGTCTGTGTGCGCCGCGGGCAGAGGGGGTGTGCGCTGCGGCGCGGCTGTCGTGCCTTCGATCGATCGAGGGCAGCCCGAGTTTGTGGGATTCTTCAATGTTGCCGCAAACCGAGTGCACTTCATCGACGAGAGGTCCCAGGGGCCGCGGCGTCCGCGACTCCGCGCGCGAGCTCCGCAACCTCGAGTGTCGCGGCGCTCGCACGCGAGCCTCCGGTCACTGAGCCGGAGGCGCGGCGTCGGCGCGGCCGCGCCGTCTGAACAGCTCGACGCGGCGCTCGTAGTACCGGGAGACCGCGTTAGGGAGCGCCGGCGCGGCGGCGGGGGCGGGGACTTGTGCCGCGCGGGCTCCGAGGGAGGTCGCGAAAAGGCGGCCTAGATGTCCTTGGACCACTGGTGCTGGTCGATCTCCTCGTCGATCTCCTTCTCGATGTCCGGGTAGGCGGCGTAGACGTCCTCGACGGTCGTCGTCGGGCCGACCTTCTTGGCGATCATCGTGTTCATCTGGGCCGTCAGCTCGGAGATGCGCGTCTTCGACTCGGCGATCTTCTCCGTCGCCTCGGCGAACATGGCGTCGTAGTCGGCCTTGGCGTCGTCGAGCTCCGTGAACGCCGGGTACGACACGGCCTTGTACTCCTTCTCGAAGAGCGCCAGGAGGCTGTCGTCGACCTTGCCCTTGTACGCCGCGAAGTCGATGGGCGCCGGCGCCGCCGAGTACTTGGCCGCCAGGAGCGACGCCTCGCCTGCGGGGCGGTTCGCTCGACGGCGAGCGACGCGCGCGCGCGGCCCGGCGGGGGGGGCGGGGGAGCCCGGCGCGGCGCGGGGCGCGGCGCGGGCGGCGAGCCGCGGCTCCCGCCGCGCGTCGCGCGCCGCGCCGGGCGGGGAGCGGGGGACGCGCGGCGTCGATCACCGTTTTCCCCCCGTCTCGAGACGCGACGCACCGAGGGCCATCTTGAGCCGGTTCAGCTCCTGCTTCGCCTCATCCGTCGTCACCTTCGACTCGAGGGCCGCCACCGACACCCATCGCTGGGTCCGGGCCGCCCGCGCGACAGCGCGTGTCGATCGTGCAAGCATCGCGTCGGTCGACTGGCGCTCGCCGCCACTGGATCGCCGCCGGGGCTCCCGAATAGGCCTCCGAATGGTTGATCTCACCTGGGCCGTCGTAGCAGACGACGTCGACGCACCGCAACCGACCGGCAGCCTCCTGAGTCAGAGTTCTTCGCTGGCCGACATACACCACCCAACGTCTGACCCTCTCTGGGTATGTCCGACCGATAGAGTAGCAGCAATTGAATACAACATACCTCGGGCGAGTGTGATGCCCAGGTGTTCGAGTGTGATGCCCAGGTGTTCGAGAGCGATGCTCGGTGGTGCGTTGCTCGGGTGTATGATCCCGTGTGATCGCGGCTTCAACGTGCATTCAGCATGCCGTAAAATTGCCTCAGATCGATGTGAGTTATGCTCTGGACTCGAGCAATCGCAAAGACGCTCCTCTTGCGGCCGCGAGGCCTCATGGCCCGCTTCGCGTCGACGCCGTACCTCGACCGCGCGTCCCAGGGCCCCATCTGGCCCCTGCTCTCGACGAGCGACAAGCCCAGCGAGGCCGAGCTCGCGGACGACGCCGCGGCGGTCTGCGCGTGGCTCGGCGAGGCGCGCGCGCGGCCCGACGAGCTCTCCGCGCCGCTCGCGGCCCGCGTCTTCGACCTCTACCTGCCCGTCTTCTACTGGTGCCGCGGCGTCGTCGCGGGCGGCGCCGCAGGGACGCCGGCCGTCGTCTTCGTCTCCGCTCCGCAGGGCTGCGGCAAGACGACGCTCTGCGACGCGCTCGTCGAGCTCTTCCGGACCAAGGGCAAGGCCGGCGCGGCCCTGTCCTACGACGACTTCTACCTCACGCACGCGGAACAGCGAAGCGTCGCCGCCGGGGGCGACCGGCTCCTGGAATTTCGCGGCTCGGCGGGAACGCACGACGTGGCCCTGGGCGTGGAGACGTTGCGGGCCCTCAAGGCCACGGGTCAGGCCGACGCGCCGCGCTACGACAAGAAGGCCTTCGGCGGGCGCGGCGACCGCGCGGGCCTTTATCCCGCGGCCGCGCGCGACTTTTTGCTCGTCGAGGGCTGGATGGCGGGGTTCAAGCCCGTCGGCGCGGCCGCGGCGGCGGCCGCGGACCCGGACCTGCCCCCCGTCGACGCGGCCCTCGACGCCTACGGCGCCTGGGACGCCCTCGCGGACGCGTGGCTCGTGCTCGGCGTCGCGGACGCCGACGTCGTCTTCCGGTGGCGCCTCGAGGCGGAGCGACGCGCGGGCGGCGGCCTCGACGACGCCGCCGTCGCGGACTTCGTGGGCCGCTTCCTCCCGAGCTACCGGGCCTACTGCCCGGCGCTCTACGCGTCGGCCGCGGCGCGCGGCGTCGACGGCCGGCCCACGCTCCGCGTCGACGTCGACGCGGCCCGCGCGCCCGCGTCCGCCGCGCGCGGCGGGCCCGCGGCGTAAGAAGAACGGCGTCGTGTCAATCGCGAAAGGACCTTAGTCGCGCCGCCGGCGGTCGCCCCGCCGCCCCCGGGACCGGGACCGGGACCGCTTCCGCCGCTTCCGGTCCCGGGACCGGGACCGGCGGCGGCGCTTCGGCGGCGACCGCGCCCGGAGCGCGTGGGCCGGGTCGAGGGCCGCGGCGGCCCAGGCGAGGCCCTCGCCCGCGAGGGGCTTCGCGGCCTCCGCGGGCTCCGCGGGCGCGTCCGGCGGCGGCCGCTCGACGAAGCGGCGGCTCGGGACGAACTGCGTCGCCGGGTCGTAGCGGTAGCTCGGCGCCGCCACGGGCCGGCTCAGGTCCACGGCGTCGGGCCGCTTGACGCGCGGCGGCGGCGGCCGGTGGGGGAGCGACTCCGGGTCGTACTCGTCGTCGCTCTCGCGGCCGGGCCGCTCGGGCAGCGGCGCGCCGTCGCGCTGGGGGACGGCCTCGGGCTCCGGGTCGTACTCGTCGTCGCTCTCCGTCGGCGCGCGGCGCGGCGGCGCCGCCGCGGGCGCCCCGACCGCGTCCGCGAGCAGGTCCGCGGCCGCGTCGCCGGAGCCGGCGCCGTGCGGCGGCGCCGCGGCCGGCGGCGCCGCGGCCGGCGGCGCCGCGGCGGCGGGCAGCCCCGCGCGCGGGTCCCGGGGGACGTCGTGGGCGAAGGGGCACGCGGCGCCCTTGTCGCACCTGCCCTCGCGCTGCATGCGGAAGCAGGGCCGCCGCGGCTTCGCGGGCAGGCCCTCGTGCCCCGTGTGCGCGTAGACGCACGCGTCGCCCTTGAGGCACCGGCCGTGGCGCAACAGATCGAAGCAGGGCTTCTTGTCCTCGTCCTTGAGCATCGCCGGGTCCTCGTGCGAGTAGGGGCAGTGGTCGCCGCGGTCGCACTTGCCCTTGCGCACAAAGTCGAAGCAGGGCTTCCGCCGCGCGGGCCGGCCGCGGGCCAGCTCCTCGCGCGTGAGGGTCCGCGGCTCGACGTAGTTGGCCACGGCCATGGCCGCGGGCGTGAACCGGTGGTCGTACTTGCAGCGCTCGCCCTTGCGGCAGTTGCCGCGGTTGTAGGGCACGCAGACGCCGTCGACGTTCTGGCGGTAGAGCGGGTTCTGGTCCGCCGGCGCGTTGGTCCACGTCTCGTTGAGGCGGCTCCCGCTCTCGAGGTGGCCCATGACGGCCTTCCACGCGTCGTACGCCGGGTCGCTCGGCGCCGGCGCCGCGGGGCCGCCCGCGGGCGCGCACTGGCAGGGGCACTCGTAGCACGTCGCGCAGGGCAGCTCGTCCTTGGGCGGCGCCGCGAACTGGGGCGCGGCCACGGGCGGCGGCGGCGGGTGCACGGGGATGGACCCGGGCGGCGGCGTCCACGACGTCTCGTGGGTCTGCGTGTTCACGAAATAGAAGACGCCCGTCGCCGGGTCCGGCGTCGCGATCCACGGCGGCGGCAGCGTCGGGAGCTGCGGCGGCGCGGGCGCGCCGTAGCCCATCATCATGCCGTCCTGCGCCGCCGCGCGCGGGCTGCGACGGCGGCGTTCGACAGAGAGCGCCACACCCTGCGGCGACGGGGCTGCATCCCGAACCTTGCCCCTCGATGTTGCCCTCCTTGTGGCAATGGGCGCGCCCAGGCTCTTGCTCCTAGCGGCGCTGCTCCTGCGGCCCGCGGCCGCGCTGCTCCAGATCCACAACCGCCTCGCGGCGGCGATCCTGAACAAGGCGCGGCTCGACGCCGTCGAGCAGCGCGAGGCGCTCCTCGCCGAGGCGGAGCGGCTCCTGCAGGCCGCGTCGGAGATCGACGAGGCCCTGGAGCGGCTGGCGGCGGGCGCCGCGCCGTCACCGCCGCCGCCCGTTTCGCCGGCGCCGCCGCCGCCACCGGCTGCGGCCACGAACCTCGACGGCGTCCGCAAACTCGGCGAGTCGCGGCTGCGGCGCATCGTCGACTTCACGGGCGAATCCGCGGAGCTCGCGCCCCTGGCCCTCGACGACGCGCTGGGGCTGGAGACGCTGTACCTGCTCGCCTGGCGCGCCGGCGACGCGAGCGCGGCGACGGGCGTCCGCGTCGCCGACGGCGACGACGGCTGCGTCGTTGTCGGCGACGGCGGCGAGTGCCTCAACGCGCTCACGGTGACGGCCGGCGACGGCGACGTGCTCGTGTCGCTGACCTGCGAGACGCACGCGCGGCAGGTCGCCCACGTCATGACGTCCCTCGACGGCTTCCCCATGAAGGCCCTCGAGTTCGCCGTCTCGGACGTCGCGGACGTCGTCCTCGCGAACGACGCGGTGTGCCTGGGGGTGATCGTGAGCGTCGAGGGGGAGGAATAATCCGGGCGCTTACTCGTGTGACCTAGGGTCCTATCTCGTAGTCGCCGAGATCCACGTCGCTCGGGAGTTCGTCCTCGTCACTCTCACTCTCGTCCCCGCCTTGTAGCCAGACGGCGTGCTCCCGAACGGCAGGGTAGCGATTCAGAAACCACGGGCTCAAAGTATTCAGAAACTTTTCAGCCAAGGTGTCGGAGATGAAGCTGCAGGGCAGCTGGAGGCTTTGGTGCCGGAGACACCACGTCTGCAGGAACCCCGACATTGAACAACGGTCTGAATCAGAAAGACGAGACAGCCGCACGTTCGAGATCAGTTTATTGACGCTGTCCATGACGGCCTCGCGAAGAATGCCTCGATCCCGCCCCACGGCCCCAACGTTCCATTCGTCCGTAAAGAGGCAACCAAGCTCGCCCGAGGAAGCATCGACGTGCTGCGCGACGAAGGCGTCAAGAGAAGTCACCGAGCCTACGACGGTGCCGCTGTAGATCGCCTGCTTCAGGAACCAAGACGCTCGGATGAGGTCGTTGACGATGAAAGCGCGCGAGAGGCCCGTAGTAAAACTCGTAGAACTTCCCGAAGAAATCGCATAGAAACGGTCTCGCGCAGCGACCTCCGACATGAACTCCTCCCATGGCAAAGCCGTATCAGCCTTGAGCTCAGCCAACATGGTGCGGCGGCACGGGCAGCTCTCGGGACAGGGTCCGCGAGCCGCGTGCCACTTATCGGCGAGTGTGCTTCGCCAGAGCTTCGAGACGCAGCGCGCGGCCGCGATCGCGCGCTTCGCGCGCCTTCTACGCGGGCAAATGCGATATTCAGCGATGGCGATCATCTCCGGGACTTTGCACCCGCGGGGCGAAGGGAGCGCGCCAGCCGGGTCGAGAAGCTCTGCGGCAGCGCAGAGGAATGCGGTCGAATTGCCGGCGTCCGTGCGCAGAAATTGTGACGCCAGCGACGTCGTCATGGCGTCGCGACGAGGCCTATGCCTCGAGTGATGCGAGAAAGCTCCAAGCACGCGCGCGCGTCGAGCTCGGCGCTCCGGCTCGACCCGAGGATCCACGACTCGGCCCGACCTTCCCGCGGGGCGTACTCTAGAGTACTCTGAGTTGTCCCCTGTTGAAGCGGCAATGTACAGCAAAAGCCGTCGTTGCATGGGCTTTTCTTCGCGGCGCTCGCGATGGCGTCTGAGCGTTATGCGCCGGGATCGGCACTGGGGAAGGTGCCTCGCTACTGCTGCAAACGCCTTCGTTCGGGCGTCGATCCACCATGACGCGGATCCAGCGCGTTTGCAGCGGCGTCGACCGTTCGGAAGCCGTCGAACCCGACGTCGGTCGGCTCGAGGTCCCGAGGGGCAGCCCGAGGCGCCTGGGGTGGGGCCTCGCCGCCGGACATGGTCTGGACCCGACCCTATCATGGTATGGAACGGATCGAGACCATGTCCGGCGGCAGGGGCAGCCCCAGACACCCCACGGCCACCGTCGGGACGAAACGCCGCCGGAGCTCGGCTCGGTGGACTCGACGATTTCGGGCTCCCCCGAGGAACCCGCCGCGCTGGACGCGACGGGGTCGATGACGAACGATCTTCGCTGCTGCGATGGCTCGAAAACTATCTTAGAGAGGTCGCGAGGGGGCAGCGCGTCCCTTCCCACCCACTCTACCTCCCCGTTCCAGTCGCCACGCGGTCGTATGAGCGTCGCGTCTTCGCATGTGCCTCACCCTCGTCCTTGCGGCCCTCGCAGCTGCTGGGATCGTTGCACAATTCTGCATATTCGCGGAGCGGCGGGCCCTCAAAGACGGCCATCCCATCGCAGCGCGCCGCCAAAACGCTGCACGATGTCGATCATGAAGCACGGAGGACATTCGATCGACTTTTACCCCGGCGGGCTTGCGCGCGTTCCGCCAGGGGTCGGAGCGCCGTCTCCCTGCCGCGGCGCTGGCCAGCCCAGCACACGCGTGCTCGCTCTAGACCTCATGTGGAGACAGCCCGCCGACGCGCCTACGACTCGAAGACCGCGAACGCAACACTTCCCGCGAGGCAAGTCTGTTTGTTTGTATGTTTTAAGGGGCAACCGGAGGGCGGCCATCCGAGGTGAAGTGTGAACGGGGCCGCCTCCTGGCGTGGTGGGGGAGCGAGGGGGAGGGGAGGGAGGAAGGAAGGGCGGGGGGTGGGGGCGGTTCCCGGGCCGTCGAGGCGCCGGGAGGGGAGAGCGAAGGCGGGCGCGGAGTCGGGGTCGCTTACAGCTCCGCCGCCTGCGTGATCTTTTGGAGCGCCTGCGGCTGGTCCTCGTCGAGGGGCACCAGCGCGCCGGCGTCCTCGCCCTCGATGAGCGTCGCGGGCGCCGCGTCCGCCGAGCTCTCGGGCTCGACGTCGATCATCTCCTCCGCGTCGGGCAGGTTGGCCTCGTCGGTGAACATCGTCGAAATGTCCCACGAGTCCTTGCGCTCCGTGAGTTTGCGCTCCTTGTTCCTGTAGGCCAGCATGACCATGAAGCAGAGGAGCAGGAGGAGCACGCAGACGATGATGATGATGATGAGGAGCGAGCCGGACGCCGCGTCCGCGTCGTCGTCGCTCTTCTTGCTGTCGCTGCTGGCCGCGGCGTCGTCCGTCGCCGCGCCGTCGCCCGTGCCGTCGCCCGTGCCGTCGCCGGTGCCGTCGCCGGTGCCGTCGCCGGACGCGGCGTCGTCGGTCCCGCTCTCGCCGGTCGTCGCGGCGTCGTCCGTGCCGGACGCGGCGTCGTCCGTGCCGGTCGCGTCGTCGCCGACCGTGCCGGTCGTGGCGATGGGCGAGGGCGTCGGCGAGGGGACGGGCGCGGGCGTCGGCGCGGGCGCCGGGTCCGCCGTCGGCGTCTGGGGCGCGGGCGTCGGCGCGGGCACGGGCGCGGCCGTCGGCGCGACGATCGGCGCGACCGTCGGCGCGGCGACCGGCGCGACCGTCGGCGAGCCGGGCGTGGCCGTCGGCGACGGCACGGGCGCGGGCGTCGGCGCCGGCACGGGCGCGGCCGTGGCCAGGGGCGACGGCGTCGGCGCGGGGACGGGCGCGCCCGTCGGGTTGCCCGGCGTGACCGTCGGCTGCGGCGTCGGCGCGGGCGACGGCGCGACGGGCGCGGCCGTCGGCGCGGGCGAGGGCAGGAAGTACCAGGACGTCGGGTACGCGTCGTCGCCCTCGACGGTGATGGTGCCCTCGGAGCTGAGGAGCTCGCCCGTCGTCATCGTGTCGAGGTCCGTGGCGCCGAAGTAGTCGGCCCAGTAGAGGAGGCGCTCGGAGAGGTAGCCCGACGCGGACGCGGACTCGAGCTCGCTCTCGATGGCGGCGAGCGCGGCGTCGTTGGAGGCGAAGCCGTGGGACGCCGCCGTGTCGATCTCCGCCGTGTAGGAGATGATCGCCGCGCCGTCGTACGACTCGTCCAAACGCCGGCCCTTGAGCACCTCGCCCAGGCGCCGCGTGGACAGCATGGTCGCGACGGCCGTGAGCACGTCCTCGGGCGAGTCGATGATGGCGCCGAGCACGTCGTAGAAGGCGTACTGGATGACCTCCAAACCGTTCTCGTCGAACTCGGACTCGGACACGCCCGTCACGTAGATCGACGACGCGACGATGACGGCCTGCGTGGCCCCGTAGGTCGTCGGCGCGGACGTCGACGACGTCGGGGCGGGGACGACGTGCTCCGTCGTCGTGCCGTCGACCATGTCGACCTCGAAGGTGCAGGGGCCCGTGCAGTCGCTCAGGTACTGCGTCGAGTCGGGCAGGAACTGGACCGCCGTCTCCGAGTCGTCGCTGCCGCCGCCGAACTCGACCGTGTAGGTGCCGTCGGACATGCAGAAGGCGTCGACGCCCTCGCCGCCGGCGTCGAGCGTGCCCGTGGCCACGACCTCGCCCGTCGACGCGTCCGTGACCGTGTACGTCGCGCCCTCCCAGCCGTCCTCGCCGTAGTCGTAGAGCGCGAGCTGGTAGACGGACTCGCCGTCCTCGCAGCCGGGCGTCGGCACGGCCGTGCCCTTCTCCGACAGGGTCGTGGGCATGGGCGACGGCATGGGCGACGGCAGGGGCGTCGGCATCATCGTCGGCGCCTCACTGTCACCGTAAAAGTACGAGAACATCTCCGCGTCGAGCTGCCGCCTCATGAGCTCCGACATGCGTTTCAGGGCCACGGCCGACTCCACGGGTTTCGCGAGGTCGCTCGAGCCGCCCCACCACGCGGCCTCGTCGCCCTGCGGAAAACGGACGGCGTCGGGAGATTTTTCGCGCGGCGGGTTCTCGGCGCGCGCGCGGCCGAGTTTCGCGGGGCGGGGGGCTCTTCGGCGCGTCCTGCGGCGCGCGCGGGGGGGGGGCGCGGGGCCC